AACGATCAAAAAAGAACCTCTGAGATTCTTGAGCCACAGAGCAGGAAAACCACTGATCTAGCCTTTCATGAGAGTATCGCAACTCCGCCATGGATTCATACACCGCCTGTCCAGGTGGGTTTTTAGCTACGCCTCCGGAGTTCCATATCGCTATTTAAAAATGCGACATGCGACAAGGCGATCGCAGCGTCTCAGTTCGGCTTGTTCACTTAAAATGAACAAGCCGGCCCTACATTCCCAAAATAGTATTATCTCTGAATTAATTGGTTCTTCAAGGAGATGTCTAATTCCTTGATTTCCTTTTTCCAGTTTCTTTCCAGCCGGATAATTTCGGGTACTCAATAGTCCTCGAGGAAAAGTTGTTGTAAAACTCAAGAGATTTCGCGTAAACACTCAGCAGGTTTGGCGAGAATCACTTGTTGATGCCACAAGATTTATAATTTTTATTTTCGTTCATGGTGTAGAGCGAAGTAGCTCGAACCCCTTGTTTGCTCTCTTCACGGGCTCTGAGGCATTGACAGAAGTTGCGAGTAACGTCCCACTATCAAGTTATATCGTACATTTCAGTGATTGAGCGTCTAGAGTCAACCTCTGTTCAAATAGAACTACCAACTCCATTGCTGGAGCGTAGGCCCCTCCCAAGTCGAAAACCCTCAACCCCAGCAGAATTTCCTCTATTACGTCTTCAATCCTTCAATCACCTCATCTTGTTTTCATCCATAAATTCTGCAGATGAGGATGGGAAAGCAGAAAAAAATGATGTGACAACTTACCCTAACAGACATTATGCAGGAAGTTGTTTTTAAATCTGCTGACGGTGTCAAGAGGTAACGGCCAGGTGGAAGAAAGAAGAAAAAGGCTTGATATTGATCCCTTGTTTGTGTCAGGATGGTATCCGGTGAGTGGTTCTGTCCTGAACCGTATAAAATCAATGCTTGACTATCATTGTCGCGCAGTAACCCCCCCCCCCCTAAACTGCCACATAATCCGGTTGTTCGTTATCTTCATAGGATCCTGCTTGCTTAAAAATATTCGCTTAGGTCCTGAAAACCGAGTATATTCCTCAAATGTGAATTAAATCCGCTTTATGCTATTTATAGCTTGGCCAGTTAATATAATTGGAATTCCCTAGGTCAGCATGGCATACCATAACTAACAAGTTATGCGCTGGAAGAGCTGGAATCCTCGAAAAGGTTGGATTTGTGATCAGGTCTAAGATGACTATCAATTTACTTAAGCGACATGAAATCCATTTGGGTAACTGTCAGGATTTCTATGCTCTCTGCGGCATTCCCCCTCTCAGGTTGTTCCCGCCTAGTAGACGCTTCAATGGGGACTTGGAGAGCTGGAAGGTTGCTGTCGTCAAGAGAATCTTATCCATTAATTTACATGGTTTTACTTTTTACCGTTCTCTCATAGAATGTCTAACAGCCTTCCATTCCTCATTTACCTACTCCTATTGGGAATATTTTGACATTTTTCAAGTAAAGTAGTTCCAAAGCATGCGGGGAGGACCACAACTAAAGACAAGGGCTCATTGAAAGGAAAAGCTGAAAAAGCAGGCATTAGATAGGTACAGCTATCCAACCCCCATATGCCACTGCTTCAGAAGCAGCTCTTATTTCCATTTTGCACTCACTTATACCGCAAACTATACCGATATGGTATAAACCACCCAAACTGACCATCTTCTCCCTGTAGAGTAAAAATCGGATTCAGAGGTGTATCCATTTCGAGATCGATGGTGATGTCAAACATCGTTTCATCCACAAAAACCACATAGCTTTCAGAGCAGTTGGCCAAAGTTGAGGCGTCGATAGCTACCGTCTGAAAAGGACCCAATTTTCGAAAACCACAGAAACTTTCTGTTCCCTCTGTCTCTGAACGTTGAGTCGAGAAATCGTGGAATTTTTCTATTCACACCATGCTTTCACTCGTAAAACTCCCAAAGTAAATCTCGCTGTTTTCAATCCCTTTCGAATTCAAACGCGGATCAAAAGTTAAGGCAGGCTCCCAGCCGTTGACCACTCAGAGCAGTTCTGTTGTGACCGGCCTCTCACTTCAGTGGTGGTTTGAGGAGTGCAGACGATAGCTACGCCTACACCTTCCTACATTTAATCCTCAGCCTTACAGCCTCCCCCATCCTTGTAGAGTCAGCAGATCAACTACATACTCGTCTCATAAACATTGAAACCCACTGTGTTTTGTTGAGCTCAAAATGAGATCCCAAAAAAAAGAGTGAAGTACACACCTCGTCATCGGGAATGTATGGAAGTTTCGGATTGGTTTCGTAACAGATAGCTAAAAAATGTTTATATTTGGCGTCCTAAGAAAGTAGAGACACACAAGAACAAGTCAGAAGCAGAGTTGAAAGATTGCTGAGTGAAAAACCTCAGGTATATGACAAATATAGAACTCACGAAATTCGCAAAACTCTCCGGTATAACCAGGAGTGTTGCAGGATCTGCTCGCAGATAGCTGTTGTGATGCGGCAGCCCCGCTAGGACCCAGAAGAGCAGAACGTTTTGAACGATGATGCTCAAGCTGAAAACATCAGCCTGAATAGACTTCTTGACCTCTCTCCCAACCCCAGCACCCTAGGTAAAAGTGCCTCTAATCAACGTCGGCGATGTCGGCTCTCAAACTAACAGTAAAAGCTCCAGAACGCTTAATTCAGGGATGTCAACGACCCCTTTTATGGATGCTATCGTAGTATTCTGGAGCTGTAGGCCACTGTCCAGACCTAAGCTATGTTCTTCACATCGGAAAACTCGTCCACGTTGTTCATACTTCGAATAACTCTTGATGTTGACAGCGTTTGTTCAAACTTTCATCAAATGTGGGTCTTTTCCCTCAAAGAGTCGTCTCTTTCTCGTTCCACATCATAGCCAATTGTCCTCACTATTGCGTTCATATCGTCCCATGGGAGTGTATGTATTTGGGTAGTCCTACATTACTTCGTCCCCTTTAAAGGTCCTGCTCATACGCTCCATATGAATTCGGCGATATTATTTTGGAAACCGATGACAATAGATATCTCGAAATCACATACCTCCGAAAGGTTGTCAGCAGTGATCCAATCTCTTCGAGGTGTCTCAGGGTGTTCGAGAACCTCAATCGCTTTCCCATGTCTCCATGTACGGAAAACTAAACAATTCATTGCTTATAAATGATTCATTTCACTCTTTGATAGACTAATTTCCTTCATTAGCAGTACGGTTTCCTTTTGCAGCTCTGACTAATCGGGAATCTGTCTGTTTCCCTTTCGCAAAAACGAGAAATTCTATCATTGTGACTTTTATCAGTGCTGTTTACCCGAAAAAACATGCACCAGAAACCAGTACTGTGTCTGTTTTTAGGCTCTTTTCTTTGACAGGAGACAGATTATAAGCCATTGTTTGTGCAGATTGGCATAGTTGAAGCCATGATTAAAAAAGTAATGCAGGTAAATGATAAAACGTTGTTAATCAATTACTTATTCTATCACAAACTTTATTACCAAACAAAAGCAGCATCCCTCCTTCCCCATTTTGCCTCCCCTCACTGCTATGAGCTGAGGACTGCTCACATCTCAAAACTCAAAACTGGTAGATACTGGTAATCACAAAAATTTTGGATGATCAATGATACTGATGGATAAGTGATAAGAGTCAAGTTTGTAGTCGGCGATGACGACGATTTCAATGGGGGAATCCTGAACCCCGGTACCTGCACTGTCGGGGTTGGTTCGTAGGACATTCGTCTTACAAGGGGCAGTCACGGTATTCAAGTACCAAGCCAAAGCGATCAAAAAAGTTCAGCCAGCCATCATAAAACTCTAAATGAAATCTCACAGGAGAAAAAACAACAGATTTTTTTGTCTTCAGAAGTTCATAGATCGATAAGCATTCCGTAATGAGTGATAAGTGGCTTTTCTGACATAGCGGGCTTTTGAAATTTTTATTTTCCGTGATTTTCCCATTTATGGTGATTTCCAAAATCCATCCCATTCCACTCATCTTAACAAAAAAAAAAGAAGTCAGAAATTTTCATTGAAAGTATTTGGCTCGATTTCCCAGGCCCTTCCAGAATGCGCTTCCAAAATCTTTTTTTTCTGATGTTTCCGGTGTATGAAAAATACGTGTTCTGTAGTTTGTGCTAAATTACGCTATTGCTACGTACCAGCCATTTCCAGAAAATGTTGAAAGTTTTTATTCAGCACGTAGAGGAACGTGACTTTTTAATGGATGAACCTGCAAGGCACTTTGAGGTATTTTCTTCTTAATGTTGATAACGCTGTGGGTGGCGAAAGGGACGATGAAACTGTGGAGGGGAGCGACCGACTCAACAGAAATGCCCAAACCTATCTGCATCATGATCGCAACTTTCAATGCCCAAATTCTTGTGTAACTCAGTAACTATTTTAGGCTCTTTTGGCAATGAAAGAAAAGACCATCCAACCAAGAATCAAATCCTGGATTATCAACTGCACCGATCAGCAAGGTCTTTTACCCCTCAGAGTTGATTAAAAGGTACGTACTAGCAAGTTCATTGACCACAGCAAGTCATAGTATGGGCCACAGACGCATACAAACCGACATTACGATTCTAAAAAGAAGTCGAATGCGGGCCACATTCAAATATGTGCAACTTATCACTGCAGAAAGATTGCTCTTCTACTATCTCATTACTGGTAGCATGGTGAGTAGCATGGTGAACCTGGTACACTAAATGAAAGCCTAAATGAACCCATATGGTGCACTACAACAGACAAAGACCGGGGATCGTCCAAATAGGTACACACATGAACTAGGTCATTCATCCATCTGGAATCGGTCTATGAGTGTTTTCCGTCCTCGTAGACTTGCTGACAAGTATAGAACCACAAACTTTCACGTGAGCTTTCCTGCACCATATGCCTAATGAACTACGGTACTGGGTGGGATTCGAATATANATACATTCGAATACATGGGCGCATCCAGAAAAAAAAACTGAATTCTTGAGGTTGAAATTTAAAAAAGCACTAGAAAGAACTCTATCAAACGTAGTGTTCGTGAAGTTGATTCTGAATCTGCTCATTCCAGGACTCTAGAACCTCGTTGGAGTGGAATACCTGTTACCAGTTTTGCTTCGCACGTAGAAATTTACAAAATTTTGTCTGCTGATCCTATCTCTGGTCGTTATGCGCTCTCAAATGGTTGCAAATGACACCGTTACCATGTGTAGAAGCTGCATTCATAGCGCATCTAAAAAGGACTGCACAGATTTGATGCGATCTTCTAAACCCTTGATGATTGGGAAGCTTTTAAACAGGTATCACCTTTCCAGAGTGCCTATTTACCTTCCATTCCGAACAGTACAGATCTGTCAGTATGAGGTCGAATTAGAAGCAATAGCAAGCTTATCTCGACACCGATGCACGCTAGTATTCAGATTCGAATAAAATTTTAATTTTCCAAGTAGACCTATCAAGCAGAGGCGTAGAATACAGCAAAACCTAGGCAAAGGCGACAAAGGCATAGGTCCCATGAACTTATAGGAGCTTTTCGTTCAGCCGCTACTCGGCCCTCGACGGGGACCATACTATCGCCCATCAAGTTTTTTTTTTCTTTTTAGTACATGTTACATATGAAACTGACATACATAACTTCTAAACCAGAAAAATCATGATGAATAACCTTTCTTTATAGCTTCCTGCTGGTCAGCCGGCGTAGTTGCCACTGCATACGCCGCCAGACAGGCGACGAGTAACAGAGGCTGCATACCTTAACGTGACTATGAAGTAGACTCTACTGGTATCGAACTATAAAAAGGCAAAGATTCTTGAGAAGCATCCGGCATAAACTCTAGCGCTTCGGAAACTCTTGGGGATTCACGGTACAGTCAGAACACTAGTAAAAATCAAAATAAAAACGGGAGACTACTACTACTTTCTTTCTTAAGTTACCAAAGTTACTGTAATAACACGAAAAACCTCTGATTAACTGAGACAATTAATCAAAGATTAGTGAGTTGAATAGCTGAGCGACGTAAGACGAGCCAGATAGCGTCAAAGACTACAAGCGTGTACTGCCACGCCATTTCACTTATCATCCTGGCTGTATCTAAGAGACAATTTAGGGCTGGGCTGTGAATTTTACAACCGCCATTATCAAGCCACTGTATTTTCTACTCGTACTTCAGCATATTTTCAAGCATTTAGTCAAAGGCTCGAGTTGATAACAAAAGTAAAAAACCTACTTTTTGAAGAAAAAGTTGGATCGTTTCCAGCTCCCAATAAATCCACTGTTTTCTGACGTCCTTTTCATGACTTCCACAGCTTGCTTATCCCGGAGTTATGAAGTCCGGGCTGAAATGACGAATCGTGAGATACTTCATTAACCTCTTATATAATCCAGGATAGCGCAAAGTCTACGAACACCACTTTTGGCATTGATCAGGGGTTCATATCATGATTTATGTTTACATCAGCACATTTTTAACTAAACAACCCTTATGAAACAAGGTGATAAGGACTGGCGAACCCACTTCTTCACTGAATTTTAGATGCCAACGACTGCTTCTTGACCCACGGATTCTCATCGCCGTGCCTATTCCTCTGGTTTCTGTTGCCATCAGGTTGTGAACCATTTTGGTGAAAAATTTGGTGCTCCATTTGCCTTATCCTGTTCTCCTAGAGAGTGTTGAGTTGGGTAAATCGAATCACACGTATTTTACTTCTAATTACCAGAAATTATCTGAACCCCTCAATTTCAACCGTGATATAAGCTTGGAAAGAGTCTATTGTGCCGACAATGAAGGCAGCTATAATTCTGAGTTCTTGGAAATTACATATTACCACAGTAATATCTCAGATGGGCGAATAATGTTGATGAAATGAAGTCCGATACCGACGCTACAACAAAAAGATGATAAATAGTAAAGTTGCTTCTGTTTATAGACAAATAAACGGACCAATCAATGGATATATAGCCCGAATTGGTTCAAGACTGAGATGAGAAGCAGATATTAAGATGACGCTCTCGGTCTCTTGTATTCCAAACCCCTACGGTCAGGGAGAAGGACCACAAGGGTCAGGTGATTACCAAACACCTTCAAGGACTGACTATATGTGAAATGGAAATGAGAGGCCCTCATTAAGCTAAGCAAAAACCCAAAATGAAAACGATATTTGGAAGAAAATGCAGCTGATCGATGGGAAAGTGCCAAAGAGTGGTATTGATGGGGATGGGGGCAGATCAAATCCAGGCAACTTCATAAAATTTACCAGAAATTTTACTGAGTGCCTCGATAGTTCGGAAACAGCCGCTGTTTTAGCTCAGTACTGAAGTCTTACCCTTCAAATAACTGCTTCTATTTCGTATGTTGTGGAAAAACATTCTTCTAGGTATCGTCGGAATGAAGGAGCTGTTTTGACCCACTGTATCATGGGCGGTGGTGATCGTCGGAAACTGGGATAAAGGAAATTGATTGGTTGAGAAAGAAGGGTAAAAAAGCTCGTCCGAGTTTGCTCTGACTAAAAAAGGAGTTCAAAACGATCTATGCTGTCATTATACTTTTGTACCTTCCCAATTAGTTACTATTGCGAGAATGCGCCATGTCCTTGAATTCATGCCGAATAGTCGAGTGCCATCAAATCAACCCCTGCTCAATCACTACAAAAAATGTATTCAACAATTCTTAGCGAAATATTGTTTCAGAAATTAAATAGTTGATCCAACGTCCAATTCTATTGTGTGAACTATTTTTATATTATACTTTGAGAAAACTCCTATTTACACCTGTTCATCATGAAATTCGTGAGGGCTCACTAGCCTCAGCCTGTCCTGGGAAGTTTTCCTTTCCGAAATCGTCGAAGTGAATCGTCGCTAACAAATTTCGCTCGAGCAGGTAATCAATAGGCATGAAAACTATTGTAGCCTGCCATGGTCACACTATGAACGTAGGAATGGTACAGAAGAAACATAGCGATAGGCACATCGTATTTACCAGTAGACGTCCAGGTATTGAATGAAGCGGTTAGACCTCCGTTCAAATTATTTCTTTTCAAGAAAAAAATGATTTTTAATATTTATACGATGTTCATTAACATATGAATAATACAACAATTAGAACAAGTACACCTTTTAGAAGAATGTGCCAACAAATTGGACTAAAAAGACGGTAGAGGATTTGTGGGATAAAGGTATCTCAGAAATTGCTATTACTCAAACAATACCATGAAACAACAAATAAGTTCAGAATGAGATCAAACCATAAAATCAAGAGAAATTCTTGAAGGTCCCTTCAGGATTCTCTTGAGATATGTATAAGTTCGTCTTCATCAGGGCAACCATTTGGTCATTAATTGCAGATCGATCCCATCTCATATCATATCAGCTTCGGGACGATTTTTTATTCATGATATACAGGTGTTGCACAGTACCCGCTTTTTTCCAAAACAACAAAATTCCTTTTGATTCTAGTTCTTCGGTTCTAATTTTGGGAGAAGTTGTTGTCATGGCGTAATCCGACGAGTTTGTTCAAAACGGACTCAGGAATCACCTTGAAGCAGCGCAGTCATTTGGCGAAGAAGTGTCAGCAGACAAGGCTTCCTGAAAGAATAGATTTGATAAATCAATTTACAGATGAAACGGTATATGGGATCTACCCCACAAAGCATTGTCACAACTTGGTTTCCTGTCCTAAAAACCCGCCCTATGCGCGAAGCGTGTACGAAGCGTGCTTTTTGACGAGTTAAAATGCTCAATACCCCCTTTTTCTACAATTTCGAGAACTAGTAGTTCCTGTAGAATTGTTCAAACAAAAAAGTTGGGAGAATTTATAATTCTAAAAACTTACAGCTAAAAATCCTTTTTTCATATTTTGAATAACAAAGTGGATCACTTTGTACCAACATTCTCGGCCTTTTTTCGTATCCATCGACATCACATGCTGCCAGCAGAATAGTGGTCCCTTCTCTGAAAACAAAACATTTTCAATTTATCTCAGAGTTCGGAATCAATAAATATCTTTTGGCATGCGCCGTGCACTTGACTCCCATTGATTTCATGATGGAGTTCGAACGACTCTTCTGAGGGCACAAGTTCAATAGAACTTCATTAGTGCATAATTTGGTGCTTTTTGCTTTCAGACTAATAGTTTGTGGAAAGATTTCGAGAGAGGAAGCTTAGTTCGGATGAATTAGTTGAGAGTACGTCTTCATGGAAATTTAGGTGATTCAATTACTGAAATTTAGGTGATTCAATTACAGTATGTACAGTACAGTACACTACAGCACAGTACAGTACAGTACAGTACAGTACAGTACAGTACAGTACAGCACAGTACAGTACAGTACAGTACAGCTCACGTCAGTTTTAACGACATTCCTCACTTATGCTTTCTAATTTCTCGCCCCATTACGACTAGAAAGAGCTCTTCTCAGGTTCACATAATTAATATACAGCATATTGTGATAACTATAATTAGTAGTAACTTCAATAACCTATTAGTGAGCACATTAGCCACGAGATAAGCACGTGCTCAACAACATTATTATTCAAGTGGTGATGGCTCAAAAATTCTTTTTCTCCTTAGAGTTAACTTTCTGGTGTGGCAAAGACCGCCGTTCTTGTAAGCCGCCTCCATTTTAATCTATCTACAGCATTTTCTGATATCACCATGATTTCGGCGAGGTCCTTCTTGATCACGTCCCGGAACCTCTTTCTTGGAGCTCCTCGTAGCCGCTTCCCTTGAGCCTCGAACTCCATTGCCTCTCGTATCGGATGATTCAGTGCTCTTCTCAGTACTTGTCCATACTATCACAGACACTGCTCTATCATATTCGACTGCTCTATCGTGGGCCGTCCTACGACCACCTGATGTCCTTTGTCCGTTTCTGAGTTTATTCAATCGGGTACAACCGTTGGTCGATCACTATTATCTTAGTTCAGACGGTGTGAAGCTGTCTTCCGTGGTTATTTGAGCTAACAC